GCAAAGATTAAAGTGAGTGAAAATGAAGCAAGAGTTATTATCCACCCGAAACTAAACCAAATACAGGTTTGAGCTAAATCTTTTGAGTCAATGTTTTAAATGTATTCCATACAGATTATTAAACTATGGAAGCTTTATATTTATATGCATTAAATAATCATAACTACAATTTCTGTGAAATAGTTTTGGCTAAAGAGAGTTAAATTCTCTTTCTCACATTTCACTGAAAATTCAGTGCTGCTTCTGTCAGTGGGATCTGTGTTAGAGGAAATGTAACTGAACAAACGGGTGGGAATTTTGTTTTATTTTTATCGTACTATGGCTTGCGGGCTTTCTATTTGATCATGTTTTTAAAATAAAATATAATATAAACATAAGTATATAATATAAATGTGTGTATATAGTATAAATTCATATTTAATATGCAATACTCATTTTTAAAATTATATATTTTTCATATGAGATAAAAGTATATTAGTAAATCATAGATTTTAGAATGTTTACTATACCATAGATTCCTGTTGTGAAAATAACAAATTTATGATCCAGTCATTTCTTCTGGCAACTGAATAAAGGGAGGATATGAAGTATACATTTATAAAAGATATGTGCTATATCCTACTAGAGACAGACACACGGTCATAATCAGACCCACTTTATTTTTCCTAGCCAATAAAAGCTAAGATCACAATATTTGTATGCATATGCATCCGTATGAAATTAGAGTTAAAAAGGAATGACAGAAAAGAAACTACAATAACATAGGTATTTGTTATGTGAATTTTCAGGGGGATTATTTCTTAAAGATATACAAAATCATAAAATTGTAGAATTTTTGTAATTGTACATTTTATGATTACTGCTTTCACAAATTGTACAAGGAAGATACACATAATTTAAAAATATTTGGCTTTTGGGATTCTCCTGTAAAATAAACGTGTACAAATGAATTTTAGGCGTTAATATCCTAACCATTCCCCTTACTCTTATCAAATCTGCAGACTTTTTAAATTTCAATTTTTACTGTAGATTCATAAGAAATAATTCGGAGAGTTTTCATGTACATTTCCCCCAAATAATATGTTACAAAACTATGAAAGAATGCCACAACTACGGAAGAGATAATGAAATAGCACACCCACCATACTTGTTTTTTGCCAGTTTTACATGTGCTAATTTATGTGTTTGTATTATGTTTGTGTCATTCATATGCTCATACATGTGCACATATGTACATTACTACAGGTGTATCTTCCTGTATTCATCACCATTCAAGGTACAAGATGGGTCCATCAGCACAAGAACCCATTGAAGCCACATTCACGTCTCTCTACCTGCCACTATCCTTGACCTTTGACAAACACTAATGTCTTTTCTAATACAATTTTGTTATTGAAAAATATTTTATAATTGTATTCTGTCTTGATGTACTTATACAGTCTTAAAATGTATCTCTCTGTATGCTTTTCATGGTGGCTGGACTATTACAACTCAAAATATGGTTTAAAATATGTTTAAATTAAAATAATTATTACAGAAAAATACAAATGGTCATTAATCCCCAATGTAATACTCCCCCTCATTTTGAGTAGATTCTGTTCTGGTCACTTCCATGTATGACTTTAGTTGATCTGTTTTGCTACCTCTATGTCTTAATCAATTTAAAACATTTACCATTCATGATCATTTTGACTTTGAGAAAGAGCCAGAAGTCACACCATGCCAGATATTGGAATAAGGTAGATGAGGACGCACTCAATGTTGTATCAAGGATGCCTTTCTACTGGGTGGCAATCAACAACAACATTCATTGTATTTTTGATCACAACTTCTAAAGACACTCCTGAAAGGACTTCCAGAAATGTTTCAGAAAGCAGTGAGAACAAAAGGATAAATGTGTTTGAATCAAGAAAAAAAATTTTTTTTGAGGGGAAGTAATGGCAACATGTCTTTTACTGTATTTTGGATGTTTTAAAAATTCAACAGATATTTTCATCACACTTCTCTACGTATTTGGTTTGTTACAGTGTTTTGGTAGTAAGATTCTATCACTTTAAGTATAGAAATCTCACTTCCTTGGTCTCTTTCTGCAGTCACCTTTTTACTTGTCTTGAATATTTCCTCTCTATGTTGAACACTAGATCAGTTTATATTATTTTTGTTTCAATCACCATATAATTTGAAAACCTTGGGAGTATTTTTTTTCTTACTGTTGTTCCTCTTCTTTCTTTTCTTTTTTTAAATTTAGTTTATTGGTACATTTTAGGTATACAGTACAGTTACATTCATCATTGGGATCTTTTACCTTTACATGAAAAGTCTCGGTCCTCATTATTTCCCCTTGTCCCTGCCCTCCTTTTGCCCCTCCTCCCCTCCCCATTTAAAACACTTTATTTCCATTTCTTCATTTTCTCATATTTTTTCTTTTCCCATATTACCTTTCCCCTACCCTTCCCACTTTCCCTACAACTTTAGCCCTTTTCTTCCTATTTCACATTGTCAATTATCTCATTAGGATCTTATGTACTATCATAGCTTTTCACACCAGAGAAACTATTCGGTATTTACACATGTGACTTATTTTCCTTTTTTCTTCTTCTTCTTCCTGATATTCCATGATTTTTTTTCATTTCTTCTGCTTGAAGTACTTAAATGCATATTTAATGTAGGCCTACCCAGAAACAAATAGTGTTACTTCCTCAGAGAATATCTATCCTTTTTTCTTTTTCTTTTTTTTTCCTGAAGGATACATTTACTGGTAAAGAATTATAAGGGAATTTGTTTCCTTCAGTACTTGAAAAACATTCCACTTCCTTTGACCTCCATGATTTCAAAAGAGAAATATATCGTCATTTGTATTTAGTTCTCATACATAATATGCCCTTCTCAGTGGTGATTTAAAGCTCTTTTCTTTCTTTAATTTTCACAAATTTCATTTTAACATGCACCCATATGGATTTTGGATTTTTCTCTTTGAACTTTTCCTAGTTTCTTGATTCCTACAATTTAATCTTTTACCAAATTTGGAAAATTTTCAACAATTATTTCTTTCAATATTATTTCATCTTCATTCTCTTCCTTCTTTCCTTGTGCAACTCTCCTTGTATCAATAGTGGATAACTTTTATTTTTCCTTACAGATTTCCTCTTTTCTTTTTATTTTTCATCTTATTTTCTTCTAGTTGTTGATATTGGGAGAATTCTATTGCTGCAACTAAACACTGATTGTATCTTCTGTAATCTCCACTGTACTATCAAGCCATTAAAGTAGTACTTTATTTTGATTGTTGAAATTTTTATTTCTATGACTTACATTTTAATGTGTTCTTGCTGACATTTTCTATTTTTAATTTGTTAAAAGATAATTACTAATAATTTACTAATGTATTTTTATTAGAGCCTGATTGAAATCTTTTCAGATAATTACAATCTTTGTTTCAGTTCAGTGTTGGCCTGTATTGGTTATCTTTTGTCATTTAAGTTATGATTTCCAGGTATTTGTTATTACCTTTATAATTCTATCCTAGATATTTTGGTTATTATGTCAGGAGACTCTGGATGCTATTTAATCTTTTGTTCTAGGAACTGTGTGTCATGTGTAGGCTCAACAGTCAGGTCCTAACTTTCATTCACTAGCTGTAATTCTTAAAACAATTTAACTTTCAAAGCCTTTGTTAAGCTATTTAGTCAAATTGGCTTGTCTGGTTCCACTTGAGTTCACACTGATCTCTAGCAATGTCACCTAAGAAGGCAGAGGAGCTTCTTCAGGCGAGTCTGCTTGGCATTCTGGGTAGGAAAAGGGGTTCTCCAGCAGGAGGAAGCGTTTCCAGAGCAGAGTGCTAACTGTACAGTACAGCACTCCCACTGCCCTGCTGTCCAGTTGTACATTGTGTCTCAGTGAGGAAAGGGTGTATCAGGCCTGACTCCCCCCCACCTCTCTCTCTCTCTCTCTCTCTCTCTCTCTCTCTCT